TGGAGGGGATAAGGAAAGATGAAATAAAGGGAGAAATGAGCTTTCACATTGGTATGAAGTTGAAGGTTTTTTATCGAACAGGTATATTGGGCTGGGATTATGAGTTGAAGCCTGATTGTCCCAGGGTTGACGTTGAGCTTGTGGCTGGTACAGGAAATGGCGGGGTGACCTTTGATCCTCCTAAGACCTGCTTATTCCCGTTAAGAAATTGATGACAGATTTCTTTCTTTTAACATGTTACATGTATTAATGATATATCTAGTGAGAATTCGGGGAGGATTTGAGAGAAGATGAGTCATCGTAGAAAACTTCAAGTATTTCACTAAATGGAAATGAATACAACAAAGAGTTTTTGTACTCTATTCCAGGTTAGTTAGGTACTAACAAAACTAACTTATATTTACAAATAGCAAAAGAAAAATAGTAAAAAGTTACCGATTAAATAAATACCACACGTGCTACACTATTGGCTATACTTTTGACTATTTTAAAGGAAGCACATGTGAAACACGTGACATTGCTTCTTCATTCCACTATGCCTTGCAACCAGGTCTTCTGCAATGATCTCCATTTAGCTATATGTCACAACTTGTTTTTGGGGGTTCGTGACCGGCGTATGAATTTTGGCAGGTATAGTTTGTTAAATCCAAGAAAGCCTATTATATTCATACTTAAATTGTACAACCATGCAAAGCATTAAACATTCATTTCATGAACCATATTATTTGTTATGCCTTCACATCATTATGGAATGCTGCCTCATAAAGTGTGGGAACGCTCAAATGTAAATATTAAAGTATTTCAAACAAACTTTCGAAATCATTTCTTTAAACAGGTACTTGCACCTCAGTGCTCAACTGGGCCTTTGGCCATGAAAATCATAATTCAGTAAATATGCGTAGTGCCCTAAAAGGCTTCAAATCCACAACATATATTCATCATCGATAACATAAACATAAATAAAAGAATGACTTGTCAACAGAACATGACACAATCTTTAAGTTGTAAGCAGTTGCTAGATCACCTACCCAAAAAAGAGGAATGGATCACATCTCTATGACACTAGCTACTAGTGGGAGAGCTATTACTGATTTGCAATGAAAGTGAGGGAAGTTAACATGTGAGTTACAAAGGCTTCATGAGTAGATACGGGATTAAGTGATAACGCTTACAACAGCTTTTTTATGGAATCAAGCGATAACCCACCAACAATGGCTTTTAAAGGCTCCACCACAAACCCTCACAAATAACTTTTCAAGGTTAAGCTACAACCTTTACAAGATGTATGTATGAAGGAGTCATAGCAAAGATTTGCCTCACAAAGGTTGGATGCTAAATATTTTACCTTGGTTGTAGTGAAAGAAGAAAAATTAGTTCAAATGAATCAAATATTCAATTTTGTAACCTTGGTAGAAGACAAAAAATATGCTAAAGAGTAAAGATGAGTCTTTGAAGGCTTCTCTAGGTTTTGAAGCTTTGGTTCAGGTCTTTTTTTTTTTTCTTTTTTCCAAATGGCTTAAATGCGGCTATGTATAGTTGAGGCAAAGTTTGGAGCAATTAGACATAAATTTGAATAAAATTTGACCATTGCTAAAGCTTGAGGATTGACTACAATGTTCCTAGGGTAGACTATATTCTTCAAATTTCTCAAATTAGGACCTCATGGTCGAGTATCACCTTACTTTACTCGATCCTTTTCCTAAGAGTGTATATTTTGCAAAATTGAGCTGCTATAATCGACTATGCCTCTTTTATAGTTGACTATGTCTATGTAAAGTTGACTTTTCTTCACTTTTGACTTGTTAGGGTCAACTATGCATGGTCTAAGGTCAACTATGTCTATTGAAAACTTGTTTTCCTTGACCTTTCTAGAATAGGGTCGACTACGGCTTTATAATATTCAAGTTTTACATTCTTTCAACCTTTGGTTCGACTTGAGCTTTTTTAGGATCAATTCTTGATTTGTGTCTTGAGGTTTTTTTACCTTTTTGATGCTTCTCTCTAGCTCTTTCCTCCTTACCTTATTCCTTCATTCAAATAACATTTTAAGGTATGTTTGCTCTTGCATTTTTAGTTGAATGTACATTGCTTGAAAGCTTATAAGATGTTTTCTAATGATGCATGGCTTTTCAAATAATTTTGTAACGTTAGGGGATTAAAAACATATTTTAGACAATTTCAAATGCTTGACATTAAGTTCAATATAATATGTGATTTTTGTCAAATCAAAATGTGATGTAACTCAAGGCTAACACCGCTATTACCTTGACGCTCATAGTTGTCAATCGTATAACCCCCATTACCCTATGCGAATAATGTTGGTAATGGTATGTCTCCCATTACCTTGGAATTTACTAATGATATAACCTCCATTAACCTGAGTAACCTTTCATCTTATTCTCGTCTATCCATCATTACATACTCATCGTATAATTCATCATTCTCATTCAACATTTGTCATGTATATGACATCTTAAACATATACTCATACTATCTCATATAGCACGTGGATTCATCATCACATACATTACAACGTAGCATACATCATGTGCTCATTCTTATCTCATATGGTATGTGGAATCCTCACCACATACAATACAACATAGCATACATCATGTGCTTATTCTTGTCTCATATAGTTTGTGGAAACAATATCACATACATTGCAACATGTCATATTTCATACGATTTATGCATATCTCATCGAAATGGTGGTTTGGTTCAAAACAATTAAAAGACTTGTCCCTCTTTATTGAAAACTAATACATAGTAGAATATTTACACACACACACATAAGTTTGACAATTCTTTCAAAACATGGATTCAACCACAAACATATTTTTCACCTTTAAAAATAGTAATAGAAATAATGTCAACTAAGTAACTCATCAAATCATGCTTTTATTTACATACTAAAATAATTTGAAAACAATGTATCCATTCACCTATTTGACGACTCTACCTCTTCCACGATCAAGACATCATTCTGACGAATTCTTTTGAATTTCAATTATACCTAAACATTCAACAATCATCGTAATCAATACTTAAACTAGGAATCATGTAACAATCTTCTAAGTTTTTTTGAAATTGGTTGAGTTCATTTAAAACTAATTTTTTGGATTAAATCCACTACTTTTCGACTAACTACATGTGTTAAAATTAATAAATTCATTATCCTTATCTTAAGTGAGCTTTAATGCTAAGGAAAATCACAAAACTTTTGAGCTTTAAGTTTTAATAGAAATCTAGACACATAAACAATATTTTTCAATTTTAGAAATCATGGATTAAAGATTTGAAACTTGAAAAATATCATTCTTGTTGATAAGACTCCAAAAACCAAGCTTTAATCTTCCAAAATAAGGATTTTTGATAAAAATTGGTTAAAGTGGTTGTGAATTGAGAAAAAATTGAGGAAAAATAGTTGGGTATCAAAAACCCTTGAATATTGTGTCATATTTATACTATGGGGTGTGAAAATACCTTTTTACCTCTTTTATTTTTGAAATTTGACGTTGAACTATTGATACCTTGGGTCTAGGTATCCATATCTTTGAAACAAAATGGTTTTTCTCATGAGGCCCTGATGAAAAGTATCGACACTTAGATGAAGGTATCAATATTTTTCTAGAAAATCTCATGTCTCGACACCAAATGAACAAGTCTCATGAACAAGTATCAAGACTTGTTCATTAGAACCCCTTTCTAGGTATCAAGTATCGATACCTCATGAAGAAGTATAAATACCTTAAGTCTATAATGATATTTTTAAGTTAATAACCAAACCTTTTGGCCTTTTTTGAGTCTCAACTTTTCCATAACTTATTTGAAAACACATAATGCATGTTTATAAGTTTAAAAAACACTTAAAATTATTATTGAAAACTTAATTCACTAACTCCCCCAAGGATTTTCTTCTTTTATTGTCCTAAGTGAGTTAGGCTCTTCATATTCTCCCCTTTATGAAAATTTGTTCTTGAATTTGCGTTAAGCGTTAACTAACCTTTAAGTCTGAAATAAGTTGGGATACTTGGTGTGCATCTTGTCTTTCGCCTCCTAAGTTACTTCTTTGCTTGAATGATTGAGCCATAGGACCTTCATCGAAGTTATCTCCTTATTACGTAGTTTCTTGACTTTTTTATCTAAAATCTTCACGATTGTCTCCTCATATGACAAATCATTTCTCAACTAGATTTCCTAATAATGGATCATGTGGGATGGGTCGGGGTGGTACTTTCAAAGTGTAGAAATGTGGAACACCGGGTTTACATGCACAAAATTTGATGGAAGTGCTAAGTGATAGGTTTTGACATTGACTCTCTCAAGAATCATATAGGATCTACTGTATATCGAGATTAGCTTGTCCTTCTTGCTAAACTTTATGACCCGTTTGGTTGGTGGCACTATGAAAAACATGTGATCACCTACCTCAAGCTTCAAACCTTTATGTTTGTGATCAGTGTTTACCTTCTACCTACTCTAGGTTGCCAACATTTTTGATCCCATATCATCCTAATATTATTTGATGCATCTTGGCCCATGTACAGCCCTAGGAGCTATTTCTCTCTGACCTCAAACCATTCAATGGGTGACCTACATCTCTTTCCATACAAAGCCTTGTAGGGCACTATTTGTTCATTAGATTGATAACTATCATTGTAGGCAAATTCCATAAGTGATAGATGCCAATCCCAAGTATCTTTAAAGTCTACCCCACATGTCCTCAAGTGTTTGGATTGTCATCTCAAATTGATCATCTTTTTGAGGGTGGAAAACTGTGTTGAATTCAGCTTGGTCCCTAATGCCTCATAAACCTTCCCCTAAAATTGGCTTGTAAATTGAGTGCTTCTATTTGGCACTATAGTGGTTGGCACTTCGTGTAGTTGCACTATCTTGTCCATATACAATCTAGCATACTGTGTTGCTACATAAGTGGTCTTTACTAGTAGAAAATGAGTGAACTTAGTCAATCTATCCATTATTAACCAAATAGAATCATATCCTTTACTCGTATGGGGTAGTCCAATCACAAAATCCATAAATATATGCTCCCACTTCCATTCAAGAATAGGTAAACGCTGTAATAATTTGGCAAGCCTTTGATGCTTTATCTTAACCTGTTGGCACACTAAACATTTAGCTACAAACATTGACACATTTTCCTTCAAGTCTTCCTGCCAGTATTATTCTTTCACATCATGGTACATCT